TGACATTAGACATCAACATTGCACTTGTTTTGACCTGTTAAACTTGAATATGTTAAAATATACAGGGTGTTCCATTTGAAAAAACAAAATTGCTGGCATTTCCAGAAAAACCGGAAGTCCGCCATATTGGATTGTGATGTGATCAAATCCGAAATAGTAGCTTATATAACGGTACCGAATTTCAGAAAAATCCGTTGATGAATGCAGAAGTTACAGGGGTGGCCCGATAACCTGTGTCACCCGGTATATTGTAAATAATTTGTTACGCGGCATTATTTCGTTGATATTGTCAAATTGCTAAAGGCACCAATTTTTATATTTTAGGAAAAGTTGTCATTTGCTTGCTTATTCAGGTGTATTTAAAATATATGATTTCTACTATTACACTGAATGGTGTTTCAAAAATTTCGAAATGATATATGTATATTCTTTTCGAGTATTGTCTCTCTTTGAATAATGGTTCAATACTGACAATAATGTGTATGTATATCGTGAGGTATATCGTCATGTGGTTACACCATAGACTACAGAAGATAAACTATCATTCAGTAATCTTTGGTTACAGTTTACACGAAGATTATGCGGGTGAAATCAATTTTTTGTAGAAAGTGCCCCCCACCCACCTAAATGACGCCAATGACCTTAATGTCCCAATAACAATAAGTTATATTTTTAGTTTTTTTGTTAATCTCCATTTACAGTACACCATGAAGTCATTTTGTCCCTCCTGCGTGAAATTACGTAACTCAAAAACCAAAAATATAAAAAAAAATCAACGAACAAATCCAATTTCATTCTTTTTCCACAAAACAAGTAATGATCTCAGACAGAGCTAAGATTTGGCTGATACATACATGTATTACTAATAAAATTGATTTCTATTAGTTGTCAACAACGTCAAAAAAATTACCATTGCAATAAAGGATCTTTTACCTTGAAGAATATTACAAACAAAAAATGCCAGAATTTCAATTAGACCACTTTGTAAAAGGAGTATTGAAAAGAATAATTTCAAAACCCAAAATCTAGCAACTAAAAAATCACCATTCATATACAATATACATTTTTCATAGGAATATATAAACAAACTTTCGTCTGAATTTCATGTGAGCCAATTTTTATTGATCAAAAAAGGAATAATTTCTATTTGAGAATTGAAAACTACCTTTTGAATGTACTGTTCTGTTGAAGAATTGATTTCAAAGATCCCGAGCTCTATCATTATAAAAAAACAATATTTCCATGAACTACTAATAATAATTAAGTAGGTGGGTATGATAATTTCCAAGTCATTTTCGGAAAAGTATTTCTTATTATTTATCAATTTCCAGAACATATTCTCTACTAACCTAGTCCGTTAAGAGATTAATGATACCGTGATAAACACCCCTGATCTGAATGATCTGATGAACGAGTTTTGAGAAGAAAAACTGAATACGCAAACAGAATATTTATTATGTAAGTCATCCTTAACATCATCATAGAAATTCCCCCCACAAATAGGATGAAACATCTCTAGTGACGCCCAAAACTTTGCTACTAGCGCCATCAGGTGTTTTGGAAGCCAAACCTATTCGATCACACACAACACAAAATCGATGAAGTTGAAACATCTTGTTACTATTACTCTTTAATGACCGATAGCTGAAAGGATCAATGAATATTTTATTCATTTTTTCTCGTATAACAGTAAACAATACTATATTTTATATATTATTTTTAAACATTACATGATCTTTGCATACACAATTTTTTCTACGACCAATAAACAATTAAAACGGAAATTAATTTCTTACTATTTATATTTCAACAACTCCACTCCATGAATTGCATGTATCTTTGACGTGTTGTGATTGAATGTCAATTTGAATTGAATGTCAAACAACTCAAGAAAGTGAGATAGAAACATAGACCCACTTGATCATATCCCAAGTACGTGTTTCTATTTATAGGCCAAAAATTCGTTTCATAATGAATGTGCCAATCCGTGTTGAAATGAACAATATCAAGAAATCGGTAGCAGATATTTAGTTCGCGTATTGTGATGTACGGGAGAAGAGAAAAATCGTTACTTCATTGACATTTTGCCCTGAATTCTTCTCATGATACTTCCTTAAATGAGCGTATTGTGTTTTCATGCTTACCACTATTAAAAGAAAACATCATGATTCCAGTCACCTCTTCAATTTATATCTATTTTTCACATAATTTACCTGGAATCCATTTCCATTCATCAAGGTGATTTCACTAATCTACAAATTCTACTACTACTACCTGGAGTTCACATGGAAGTCACATCACAAGTTGGTATCAAATAAAGTAAAAATCATTTGACCGCCATTTAAAATATGATTCATTAACTGTACAGATTACATGAATGATGATAAAAATATTTGAGTTTACATTCTATTTGTGAGGGGGTTTCAATGACCATCATATCAAGCTCTTTTTTCTGATATTTCACACGATAATCGAGACTTTTACATTATAGACTGACAGTCAGTGATCGGCAGACTTACGGTATGTTACCAAACTCCATATTGATGCTAGGTACACTATTTCACCTGTCGTAGGTGAAATGGGAAGTCACTATCCTCGTCAACGGTTCTTTGGGCGTATACAGAAGTCGAAAAACGTTAAAAACTACTTCAAAAACGTGATCGCATCATATCTAAAGTTCTTTTTTTTTTTAATTGAAAAATTCATTAGCAGACACTTATTCCGGTTCCAAGTATTCAGTTTCAGTTTATTCAGTTTATTTAGTATGCTTTATAGAATTTCAAAACTTCGAAAATTTGCGTTATTACAGCATCGCCATTGTTGCTAGGCGAAATTACGTCAACTTGCTTCAACCAAGTAAGATGGGTTGAACTCTGCATGCGACCAATGCTACTTGGTCGAATATGAATGAGTAATCAAAAATTGTCTAATTTTTTACAATTTAATTATTGAACTTGCGATTAGATTCTGATGGTCTGCGTGTAACAACGTCAAAAAAATTAACATTGCAATAAAGGATCTTTCACCTTGAAGAATATTAGAAACAAAAAATGCCAGAATTTCAATTAGACCACTTTGTAAAAGGAGTATTGAAAAGAATAATTTCAAAACCCAAAATCTAGCAGCTAAAAAATCACCATTCATATACAATATACATTTTTCATAGGAATATATAAACAAAATTTCGTCTGAATTTTATGTGAGCCAATTTTTATTGATCAAAAAAGGACTAATTTCTATTTGAGAATTGAAAACTACCTTTTGAATGTACTGTTCTGTTGAAGAATTGATTTCAAAGATCCCGAGCTCTATCTATAATATGCCACAGAAATACTTCCACCATTTCTAAGAATAGTCCAAGCATGTTTTCTCAGTTTGGCTACATGGGCGAAGTGTGAAATCAACGACACATTTTTCTCCATGTATACCGTGGTGCTGTTATTCAAGGTAAAGAATTTTGAGCCATCAGACATCAAAGACGGTATCAAAGCTTTCGCATTGCTGAGGTCATATAAAATTCCTATTCAATCCGAAAGAAAAACATCTGTTTCATTCAAAGAAGATTAATGTAGGTATAGTTTATGCAAAGTCAATTGGAACAATACATCAACGGCAGCCGTCGGTCCCTTTGAAAGTTCAAAGAGAGCGGCAGCGCGTCCCGAGATTCCTTTGATCATCTGTTTCACCTGACTTTGCATAAACTATATAGTGTATGTTCAATAAACAATCATTCTTACAGGAGAGCATGAAAACTGGTTCTTTGAGTGATTGCACACCTACATTAATACGACAGATAAATAGTTATTTATGTACCAAGTGCGTTATATGTATAGATCCTAACGCTCGTGGTGCATACAAAATTTTATTTTACTGCAATCGGATCAAAAGTCGTCAACTTTTATTCCAAAATTTGCTCTTGAAGTTGACGTTTTTCTTACTGACACAATAAAATGATTAGTATGTATGCTGCTAGGCAATACTTTTAGTGTCTAGGAGCTAAAGTTGAAGGTTTAACTCCTAGGAACTAAAAACGTGTCGGATGACAGCTGATATGGAAGCTGCTTTGACACTGGCATGCTCAAGTGACTCGAAATAGTGGTATTTTCACTTATATTTTATCAATTAGATATCAATTATTTCGATTGCAGAAAAAATAGCATGTTTCATTCGGATCAAAAGTGACTCTGTTTGACTCGCAAAATTTGCGTGCTCGGATTTGCAGCCGCTATGCCTCGCAAACGCAAATATCGCTTGTCAAACAAAGTGTGACATTATTTTCACGAAAAAGTTATCTTAAACGACGTTGTTTACTTCATAAATTTCTTCTCATAGTATTTACTGCGTTCTGGTCAGCAACTGAGCACGAATGAGCTTCTATGCAGTTGCGATAGAAACATTGAAGAGTTTGCTAAAGGTTGTTTATTTGATAAAACGACGCTGCATTTTTGTAAAAATTGACAAACTTGTTAGTGAAGGAAACTAAAAACGGTTGTGTTCATAATAATTATGGAGATCCCACAGAATGTGACGCTGAAAGCTGAAAAAGCGTTAGGAAATTTACTGCCTGTGAAATCAAAATACTTATACGAGAAGGAGTATGACCATTTTTTGAAATGGAAAGATGAAAACAGATTGAATACCGGGAATGAAACTGTCTTAATGGTATACTTCCAGAAACTGGTGAGGTTATCTCATGCAAAATATCAATATTTTTAATTTATTTTACATTATTTCAGTCTGAAAAATATAGTGCAAATACTATGGCCCAAATACTCACAGCTGAAATCAACATTGATTGTTGAAGAAAATATCAATATACCAGCATTTAGTCATGATGGCCTTTCTGAACTCAAAAGGATACATTCCTAAAAATTCTAAGGTGTTGGAAGGTGGACAAGTATTACTTTTCATAAGGGAAGCTCCAGATGATACTTTTCTGCAACATAAAGTTATTCTGGGAATGAAACTTTCCTCAATATTTTATTTACGAATTAATTATTGTAAAGTTTCGGAGCATCGGCTGGGGATAGTCTTGCACGATTCGCTGTTGCGTTCCAATTAACAGTACTGCTCCTAAAGTGGCGCATGTAGTTAGTAACAAAGCCTACACAGAACACGCAGAAAGAGATGATGATGTGGTTGTGAGCATCAGAGAAGAAGTAGGACGGTGTATGTAGGTGGGTGTGGAAATCTACTGGCTGAGCGTGAAGAGCGGGCCAGCTGCTTAGTGGACCCCAGTCTCTAACGGGGGTTAACGATGATAGCTAGCAGGCCTGCCACTGCAGCATATGGTAGTGAGTACATCACTAGCCTACAAAACAGAGCCGAAAAAAAAGAGAGCTGATGGGCGGTGCCTGAAAAGGATGTTAGCTAGCTCTCTTAACGAACCACATCAGTCATTAAAAACACCTTGGGGCTTGCATAAAGGTCCCATTAGGGACTAGTTGCTGACGTGCAAACGTCCCCCACCAGTACCAGTACCAGTATTCTGGTAATGGGTGCATTGAATGTATCTGTATTGAAGACAGATGGGTTTTACTGATCGAGGTACCAGAAACCAAGACCTGCCCCTCAAAAATTTTCACCATTGTTGAAGAAAGCGAATTAGGGGCCTTGAACTTAGTGAAAAAGTACATTGCACTACAACCAAAAGGATGTAGACGTAGTTTTTTTCAACCTAGAGAAATAATAAATGCATTGATTTACCTGGAGGTAAAAATTCTATAGGAAGTTTTCCTTCTATCATAGTGAAATAAATTAATTTGGAAAAACCCGAAAGGTTACACCGGACATTGTTTACGCCGATCGCCAACGCTTCTTGTTCAAGGTGGCGCTTCCTTTGAAACACTAAAATAACATGAAAAATGGAAGAGTTGTACGATACCAGAGAGCTATGTTGAAGAAATTATCTCCTCGAAGAACAAAATTGCTACAATGATAGCCCATTCCGTATCCGAAAAAGAAAATGTTAACGATCCGAACGAAACCGAATGCACATTGAGGAGTTCATCATCAGTTAACTCACAGAAATTCAAACTTGGTACTAATTTTTCAGGAACATTTGAAAATTGTAATTTATATTTGAGAAAAAATAATTGGTCCCTTTTTTATGTACAGTTATAAATAAAACTTTTCTGAGTAATTAATTTATTGAACTACAGAAAAAAACAATTAGCGGACGTTATGATTCATACTGCCCTCCATAACGCCCTTGGGCGTTATGGGTTTTTTAATAGCAACCGTAGCCATTATAAAGCAGTAATGGACAAGTGAAAAATAAACATTTTATCGTCTGTCCGCATGTTGAAATCGACCTTTTGTCTATGCTTCTACAAATATATTTATGTATGATAATAATGTAAATATTATATTTGAATTTCTGCTTTGCTGTAATAACCCAAATTTTAAAAAACTTTTCGATGTTTTGAAATTCTATAAAATATACTTGGAACCGGAACAAGTGTCTGTCATTGAATTTTTTATATAAAAGTTTACATACTTTGGGATATTGATAAGCAAGACATGCTGTGATCACGGTTTTTAAGTAATTTTTGACGTTTTAGGATCTCTATATACGCCCAAAGGAACCGTCGACAGGGATAATGAATTCCCATTTCATCTATGGCAGGTGAAATATTATACCTATAGCAACAATATAAAGTTTATTAATATAACGTAAGTCTGCCGATCCGCTGGCTCTTTTAGACTATTACAGTTAACTTATATATATATTTATATAAATCTTGATATAATATGGAATCACCGAAGGTGTTCTAACACCAGAACCTGACTATAAATTAATATTTCATATTAACGACAAATAATGTATATTACATTACATAATATACTTACTACAGTGAGCATCTATAGGTTGAAATAAATTCGGTAGCTATTACTTTTTACTGTGTGACAAGAAAATCGCTTGAACCGATGAATGTTGTTGGTTACACAAGACTCACAAGAGTTTTGAAAATTAAGTCTTTGAGCGATTTTTTGTGACACCCCCTATTGAAAAGTTGAATTTATTCCAACCTATATTTCACCGCATAATCAATACTAGGCTGAAATAAAAATAGATCACAGGGGATCAAATAAAATTTTGTCATTCTTTTGATAACGCTGAAAAACAATATTGAACATTATCACTAACAAATTAAAATTGCACCCAATTGGTGTTTGTTGAAGTTTGAGTTTGCGTTGGTGCACTGAAAAATAAAGGCACATCAGGAAAATTGATTATGGAAACTGAAAGATACAAAACTGCATTCTTAATATAACAAATGAAAAAATAGTTTCACTATGTGGGATTATGTTGGTTACAAAATTAAATCTTCATTTTATCTTTATTTCTGATCAATGATTTTTGCGAATATTGAATGATTTTTCGAGATGATAAAAAACTGAAAAACAATGATAATGATAATTTCTTTAATTACACTACATGTTATTCTATTCTAATCTGTTACACTGTGTCCAAGATAAGAAGCGCCAGTATGCAAATATCAAAGTAATGGTAAATAATAATAATGAGAAAAAAAAATAGTGCGGGAAAGACACTTTCCGAATGAGTTAGGAGCAATAAATTTTCTACATTGCCGGAAGCTAGCACGCCCATGAGGGGTTTGATCTCTAGGTTTCAGACATTACTAAAAAATTAGCCGAAAATACTTGCATCTCTATCATTTTTTTGAAGTAATCAGACATCTGTCAGTCTAATTCTGTGATTTTATTTAAAAAAATTGCGAATTTAGTGGTTGGTCAGTAATTCACGTAACCGCGAAGTCCTATGCTATTGGCATATTTCTCGGAACTAAAGCACAACAAAAGCCATCAGTATATGTAATATATATCCGGGAAAATAATGCAAACTTTTAGTTGTTTATGAAAAGTGACATTTTATAACATGTCAACAGAGATGAAATTACAAACTTTTTACCCGTCACAGAAAAAATAATTTTTTTTAACTATTGATTTTATTTTGATGTAACAGCTTCACTGGTAACAGCATCATTTACTCTGTGTTTGTTTAGATTTTAGATTTACACTTTGTCATTAAGAATGCTGTTTTCTATTGACCATAAAGTACATTGATTGTCTTTATTATGACCCCAAGTAACATTGTTGTTGATCAAGTTCTTGGTAATAGCGATATATAAAACAAATCAGAAATAATAATATTCTTCTTTAATAATGATATAAAATTGATAAATAAATATAATTATTGTACAATTGGTTTCCACAGAAGAAAAGTGTTTCAAATATTAAAGTCATGAATGAATGCATTGTGGAGACTTTAGCTGGAATAAATTCGTTAGCAGGGAGGTGAATATTTTTTTCTAAAAATTCATGGTATACATCAACGATTTAATGTATTAACCTACCTTCTGCAAGCAATATCGAGAATGAATACTTCCGGGGGATAGCTGAAACCACCCTCAACATGATTTTTTCCAATATAACCCTATGGCTTGTGACCCCTCATTGGAAAGCTGGTGAAAAGGGGAATCCAGTGTACTAGTCAAATGTTAGTTTTTCATACGTTCAAAGGTTGCACAAAATTGAAATGTAATTTTAAAATTCCATTTTTTTTTCAACGTATCAATAGCTCAAAATGTGCGTTGAATAATTGATGGCAATTTTTTGCCACAACTGCTATCTGCTGTTAAATTCCAGTGTTTTTATAGAACCACAAAAAAAAATTGATTTTTTGCCGTATCCTAAGCAGAGCTGGGCCGAGTACTGATAAATTGTACTCGAGTACCGGGTACCGGGTACTGTTTATAATTGAAGAACGAGTACAGAGTACCGAGTACCCCACTCATTGGATGTACTCAGAGTAAAGTACTCCGAGAACAAGTACCCGAATTTCACGGGTACCTACTCATTTCAAGTACATTTGAATAGAGAATTGAGAAATTTTGCATCAGTATTAGTAACCATATTTATTAAACAAAACAACTCAACTTGCAATACTATACCCTCACCTCTTAGTTTAGTGTGGTTTAGTCTTAAGAAAACAACAGAAACGATACAAAAAAAACACTTGACTCTATAACTATTACACAGTGTACAAAACAAAAACTCCGCGTTTGGTTCTGATTGAAGTGCTGACTGATAATGATGATATAACATATAACAGCGGTTTCCCGTGTTGCACTCGCATATGCAGAGACAAGTTTATTCTTGCAAAGAGTACCCGGAAAATGTACTCGTTTAATAAACGCGGGTACCGGGTACTTTTCCCGAAATGCTACGGGTACGAGTACCGGGTACTTTATTGAAAATGTACTCGGGTACTGGGTACTGAGTACACAAAATGTACTCAGAGTACAATATTTGAGTACTTGTACTCGAGTACTGCCCAGCTCTGATCCTAAGTAAAAAAGAAGTGTTATTGCAAATGGGTGGAAATGCTTTAAATCACTGTCACTAAAAGTCAAAATTTTGATGAAAATACATTGAAAATATATTAATCTTCGAAATTATACTGTGATTTTATGCCAGCCCCAAAAGTACTGCAAACTGAAATAAAATCGGTGAGCTGGATTCGTCTTTCAACCAGCTTTCTAATGAGGAGTATCAGGCCATAGGGTTGCATTTAAAATTTCAGTTAAAGTCTCCACCCTGTATATTATTATGCATTCAGAGTGTACAAAGCAAATATTTCTTTAAATACATTTTAAATCTATCTGATTCCGCCATATTTTTCAACTCATTATTTGCTACCAGGTTATTAAATTGCTTGTTTTCATGAGTATAATTATATTGCATCAAATTCATTAAAATACAACTATGATATTTTCAATTATTTTCTGACAAATTGGATAAAACAAATGTTGATTTCAAAAAATGGAAAAATATGCCCCACTTACTGCATGAACTAATTAGAAAATCATGAGAAAAACAGTTCCATATCCAATAATCATTGATGTTAGCTAGATAAAGATTGAAATCAATCAATCAATCAATCAATCAACTTTATTATTCCCAAGAAACAACATTTTGTTTATAGCAGGGAACATGGTGAATACATAAATATATTATTGAATTATGATATGAAGCATATTGGTCATCAGCATGATGGAATTTTAATACATGAAATTGATGATGATTGCTCCAGGACTGGCTCAGGGCAAAAGGTATAATAGAAAAATAATTTTGCTATTTATTAAAGATTATGGGCCTGTTTCAGAAAGAAATGCTCTTATATCAGATAAATGTATACACTGACATTTGATGACATGTGCATTTTCAAGATCCTGGGGTCAAGGGGGGCAAATATTAGTGAATTTCTTACCTTATTGTGGACATCCATCTAGCATTTTTTCATTGAATTAATTATGGCAAAATCATGTAGGGTGATTGTTCTAATATGGGCCAATCAATCTGTTTCCCATGGAATTCAAATTTGCTCTCATTGAAATCCATTTTTGTACAGTTAATTCAGTTATAAATATGTGTACAGGATACAAATGAAAGAATAATAATTCATTTTCATAAAATATCTACCTATATCTGATATCCCTGCACTAACCTTCCTTATCTTGAACACTGGATTTGATGCAGACTTTTTGATGGCAAAAAAAGCCTCTAAATATTGTTTAAAAATCAAATATTCTAGTACTTAATTATTTTTGTAGGTAATCAGTTCCATTACTTTGACAGTATATCAATATTATCATTATTTTTCTCAGTAGGTATTTACCAACAACAATCAATTAATAGAAATATATAATATTCTGAATTATATATCACTATCTTAATACAATATCTTTCATGGTTTTCATAATTCTCATTTTATCAATATTTTTTATTAGATACTGAGGAGGATACTGATGTGAGAATATTATGTATTAATAATTCCTCTTTTTTTTATCACATTAGTTACCATCAAATGTTTTTTAATGTGGTGTGAACTTTTATACCATCAAATTAGTTATCTTTGGCATATTTAAAAAAAAAGTCCTGAAAGAATTACTCAAATTCAAGAATAACTTACCTATCTGTTGCTGATGTGAATTCACCCCATGATTCTCCTACTGTGCTGTTATTTTTTGGTGCATGAGCTGGTGAAACAGCAGGAGAACTGCCAGGAGGAGGGGGTAGCTTACCTCCTGGGGGTGGAGGCAACACCCCCAGACCACCACCATTGCCAGATTTTAGTTTTGACTTTGAACTGCTCTCTGAGCCATCTTTCTTTGTTATTTTCATATTTATCTTGATTGTTTCCCCTTCTTTGAAACCAAGATCCAATCCAGGACCACTGGCAGGCTCTTCACTCCTTTGCTTCTCTTTTTTTATCCATTTGAAGTGATCTTGCAGTGCTACATTCAAGTCAAAAGAGTCAGATCTATCTCCAAATCCAACACCAATGTATGCTGTTCGACCTGAGCAAAATAAAAGTTTCTGTGAATATTCCACAAAAGTATTACCAGAAGAACATTGAAGTAAGAAATACATACCATTGTCATCCATGATACGCAGAACAAAATAGCGTGAGGAGTCGCTTACTGATTCTATAGCTACTCCTGGATAAGAATCAATAGGACATTTTGCAAAAAGTTCACCAGAGTTTTTGTCTTCCAACTTGATACTGAGTTCATTACCTTTGGAAATTAAACGCATTCTGCCAGTCCATGATGGTTCAGCTAGATTCCAGTCTGCAGCCCTAAGAAGTTTGGATTTATATACAATAATATTGGTATTATTGGTTATTCCTTGAATGCATAAAAGTGGGTGGATTTTCTTGGACTGCACATTGTAATAAACAAATCTGATTAATACCTGTATCCTCTATTTGAAGATCTAGGAGGAATATTGAAAACAAATATTTCGGGTTTAACTAACACCACACTTTCATATGAATCCATCGAAATATTTCAAAATTTTCTTGTACTGTTCGCTGGAGATTGTAAAGAAATGAAAAATCGGAAAATCTCACAAAAAGTGACACCTACTATTGTTTGACATGACACAATAATGTCAATAATAGAATAAAATAAACAATCAAATCACAAATGTCTAATTTGACATTTGACGATTGATAGACCATTGTTGCCATATTGCCAGACAAAAAAAATTGAAAATATGTAAGAGGTCTATTCGTTTGTCTTTGTAATGCTGAATTTGCTGTTGATGGCATAATGTAAACATATACCAATGACGGCTAAATATCTAGACTGTCCAACGGGTCATACATGACTGTCCAATCACTCAGTTCAGTGTATACCCCACCAGAGGGGTTTACTTGCCGTCTTTTGCGGAGAAGTCATTTGTTTTCTGTTATTTTGAGCTTTTATTCGGTTGTTTTCCAATAACATAAGTTATATTGACTCTTCGAACAGTCTAGATATTTAGCATCATTGCATATATACAATGTAAATAGAGACAGTCATAAAAAAAATCAATGAACTCAAACACAAACGAATAGGCCTTTCACCATAGGCGCAGTAGAATGCTTACGGATCCAGTAGTCGCAGTACTTATTGTAGACCAATCAGAATAATGGAAGATCGAAACACGACAGTCGACAGCAAGCTGTTATCTGTGGAATGTCAATTATGTCATCATGTTATTTTTGTTCTGTGTCAAAAGCAAAACAGATTTTACGTGTACAAAAATGGATTGAAGTAGAAATTGAAATTCTTATATCTTCTGTTATTATTAATTAATATCTTTATATTCATATTCTTCATTGAAGATATTAAGTACTCATAATATTATTAGGTTCGTATCTATACTATTTATTGGCCTGTGAGACATTATAAAATCAAATCAATAATAAAGTTGTCCATTCAAAATTTGTTGTCCCTGAGGTTGGCCCTCTAATTTTAATATGAATTATTTTAGGTCGCCATTCTATAATAAATCATGGAAGAGGAATTGTTATCTTCTGGAAATAGTAAAAGTGCAATATCACAGTTGTGCACTAGAATTTCTCAGGTAAGTTCTACTATATAACCAAAAAATCACACTGTTAGATATATTATGGATTTATATAACTTCATAAATCTAGATTCACCAAAGTACTCTGGATAAATGGACTCCACACAGTCATGCAAGATGGGGTGGCACAATTCTGCTCCTCATACTATTTGGTTTGCGTATTATTACCAAGCAGGTATAAGGCAAATATTTTATGTTTTAGTGGTACCAAGGAGTGGTGGACAGGACAGTACCTTGGCGAAAGCTCCGATGGCTATCTTCAATTCTGCTCATTCTAGGTTTTCTGGCCAGAGTGCTTTATGCACAGGTATAAAAAGATAATACTTGCTTAATGTGTTCATGCTTGTGGGTATACTGGTATAAATTGTGAATTTCTGTTTGCAAAAAATTCTGCAAGGGGAATTTCTGTATTCCTTTTTATTGCCAAAAATGTTCCAACTCTGATGTAATATCAAACATTATATTGGGTACCTTCTAGATAACAGAAGAATGCTTTTGCCATTTTTGCCAATAAGATTTTATTCCAAGACTAGTTCTGATCAAGATACTTGTGTTCATATTGATAATTACTCACTACCATTCAACTTCTCATTATATATTTGGTTGGATAAAAAAAATTGCAACCATTTCATTGAAATTATGAACTGGTGTCATTCAATAAAAGTGCTTGAAATAATGTCATCACATAAGTACTTACATCTCTTCCTACCATTTCTAAACCATCATACTGATGAAATAATCAACTGACATATTTTTATTAATGAAAATTAGAGAAGCAATATGCTCCTATTATTGCACACCAAAAAGCACAATTATATGAGAAACCATTCTTCCTCCACTTTGTTGGCAACAGTGTTTCAGACTTGCTTTTTTTCTCTCAGAAATTCAATTTGCATTACTGGGTTATTTCTGCCTTTCCACCACTTCACCATCACAACATTGATTATTCTCATATTTTCATATTAATATAAACTGTTTGTTGTATTTTTTTTTAGGGATGGTATATAGTCACTTATGCCCTAGGTATTTATCATTTAAACCTATTTATAGCATTTCTCACACCAAAAATTGATCCAGCAATGGATTTTGATGGTAAGTTTAAGATCTTTTATGCAAAATTTTTTTGATTAAAAATGACAGGGAGTTCTAGTATTTCCACTTGTATGATTGATTGATTTCTGCAGTTCTTCTATATAGAATATGAAAGTGAAAATAATGTTAATAATGATTAAGCATTGAAGGATCATTTAGTTCAACAATAAAGATAAGGAAAAATAATGGGAAATGTTATGTCATGGCAACTTGAATAGTTTGAAATGAATAAATAATACTATTAAATACCCATTTCAGCTAACAGGTACTAGTTCTTTATATTGCCTGTTTTTCCAAAATGGTAATTTTCGAAAATTTTACATGAAAACGATCCAAATAAAATATGTCTTCAAAAAACAGTCTCTTCTTCTCTCCAATAGGCTATACAGGGTGTCTCAGATTTATGGTGACAAAAGCCTAGGGGAGATTTTTCTCAATAACAAAGTATGAAAAAAAGTTCATATGCACATGGGTCCAAAAATGCTTCGTTTTCGAGATATAGGGTGTCCAAGTTTGAGAAAAAAAGAGTTTTTTATTAATATCTTGAAAACGTTCAAGCCGGTTTGAATGAAATTTGTATGGTTTATTTACTCAATTATCAGAAATTTACTGGACCAATTAGAGATCCAGAAGTTCCAGGGGCGTATCCATCCAGCAAGTCTACTTTTTTTTGTAGAAAAATAAGCCACTCTGTATTTTCTTTCGATTTTTTTAATATTCAGAAAAACCCACCAAAAATACATTTCTCTACTCCTTACTCGGTAAGTACTTCATTTTGATACTGATTTGAGGGAGGAAAACACGTTCTACCTCCCTAGGGAGGTAAGTAAATATTTACCTCCCTAGGGAAGCAAGTTAAATAAACTTCATAATTTAACCTAAAAATTGAAGTCCTTGTAACACCGATTGTACCGTTCCTTCGATTTCTGAGGTAATAGAGCAGCACAAGCTGCATTCGCAACTGCATCGATATCCATTATTTCGATTTTTTTAATAAAATGACACTGACAGAACATTTGTTTGATTATAAACAATATGAATTCCATAGCGATCAACGTGTAACACTAGGAAACCTGTCATACATACAGGGTTTTTCAGTTAGATTAGTCAAATTATATAAGTAATTGAAAAACATTTTTTTTAATCTAAGGGAACTGGAGTAGAAAAAATATAATACAAAACTCGGGAGGCAGTGTTCTTGACCAGTCTCGGACTATTTTGCAAGCCCTCGCTATCGCTCGGGCGCAAACAATGTCCTCGACTGGTAAGTATCACTTGCCTCCCTTGTAGTGTAAATAACTATTCCGTCTCTTGCTATTTTTTCGTATCTTGATTCGTTTTCCAGAAAAACGGACAATACCATACCTCTGCATATCTCTGAACTCCAGAATAAGGGATAATGAAAAATGCTTTGATATTATCAAAAAATTCATTGCACATCATTATTTATGAAAAAAAAAACACAAAATTCATCAATGCCCTCTCTAAAATGTAAATGATCTCAAAATTCTGAGAAATATTTTTTCAAGTTATTAATACTCTTGATTGCCAAGTCAGTCGGTTTTCTACCGACAAGAATTTTCCAGCGGAGGCCGCGGCCATATTTTTTGTGCGCGCACCTCCAGTTTTTTTCAATGCTTATCTTACAAAAATACGTCGAATCATGCTTAATCAGTAAGCGACGAGTCATCAAGTGGTACTAAAAGTTTTTTTTCAATTGCTGAGAGAAATGCATTCAATATACAGGGTGGCCCACGGTCGATGGTACCTTAGACGTATACGGAAAACGGTACATTGGATTATCCTGAAAATTTGGTTACTCTAATAAGCGTTTGTGATCTAACGATTCAAAATATTTTCAGCGAAGCAGCGTTGCCACTTTCACCAAAAAGTAGCATCATCTTTGTTATTTCAAATGGAACACCCTGTATTTTATTGCGTTTTCAGATTCTTCTCGAAGAGCTGATTCCATCAATGCATCACGCTTGGGGTCCCTATATTAACTTTTGATTAACTATCTACCGACATTTAATTGGAAAAAATACAGGATGGTCCAAGATTCAGAATTTTGATCACCCTGTATATAAAGAACATACCCATTCAAAATCGGATATCAATAAATTCAGGAAAGACATAGCCAGGGGATTAGCATTTTTTTTATCGCTTGAAGCGCACGAAAGGGAATCCCTATAATGTTCAAAGAACATCGTACGTTCCTAGGGAGGATAGGGATAGGAGGTAGGTATTGGAAATTTTTTTGAACTTCTGGAGATTATATGTTGTTGATGCCAACAGAAGGAGTCTAATGATACCCAAAGTCCCAAAGTAACACTATTAAGAATCATAGTTCATAAGTTACTTATTTTTCAACAATGTAGGAGGATTCAAATAAATATAATTCCCAATTATTATATTTTTGCTTAATGGACGTCGGACGCCGCGAAATTTTGTAGGCTTATAAAATCCAGTGCTGCGATTCCAATGAGCATACCTAATTCTAAATAAAGTCGGTTCAAAAAGCCTGACGACACAAAATTATGCATAACAGCCTGCCAGTCATATACGACTGACAAAACGAAATAAAATAACACAAAAATAGTCAGTGAGAGTGTTAATGAAAAACGCATATTTTTTTCAAACTCTGACAGGAAGCATTTTCGAACCCATTTTCTTATGATTTTTTTTCATATTTTGTTTAGAGGAATCTCCTCTAGGCTTTTGTCACCACACCTCTCAAACACCCTGTATAATATCTCGGCAGATGTGCGTTTTCTTCGAAAAAAATCAAGAATCTGAAGATCCTGTATTTAGCAAATGTTCTTTGAAACTTTTCATATTTATCAGCAATCTTGAACCAACTAACACTTCACACTTCCGGGAATAATCATCTCTTTTCGGTTTCAAAGAATTCCAATAAAGGTCTGGCAGAAAGGTTTTTCATGGGGTTTCTAGAAAAGTCTACTGAAAGATAATAGTCATTGAAGATAATACAGAAAATGCATAAATGAATTTTGGATATTGAATTTGATGCTGTAGTGAAATAGTATATTACATAACTAGTGTGGAAAGTGACATATTTCGCGCGAGTGGACGTTTAGCACAAGCCGCATACATTTAACAGTTTCTTAACATCGACTTGAAATGAACTTAACATTAACTCAACATTAACTTAAGATTAACCTAACATTGACTTAACATCAACTTAACATTAACTCAATAATTATTCAACATTAACTCAACATTAAATAAACATTAACTCAAAATTAACTTGACATTACCTTAAAATCAGATTAACATCAACTCAATATCAAATTGACATTAACTTCACATTAATCACTAAATTGCCAATACATTGACATTAATTCAACTTTCATTTGAAATTAACTTGATTTCAACTTTTCATCAACTTTACATTACGTCAACATTAACGACAATAACTCATGTTAAATCGACACTAACTTTCCATTATCTTGACCATAACTTAACTTACCACAATTCAGCATAATAATCATTCATTGGTACACCATAATCTATAGCACTAGTGCTGAAAAGTTACTTTTTGCACGATTTTTGTATTGTTGAAAATATGGATATTTAGGACTAACTAAAATTGATCCATGTAACTATTCTGTCCTATGAGTCATTTTGTAGCATCATTATCAAATATTGTTTATTAAAAACCTTTTTTTTATAATATGGACAAAAACACTCGTAGGAAAAACTTTGTACCTAACTCTTGCGGAAAATGTATCTTCCGCACTTGTTAGGTAAATAACTATTACACATCCTGTTAATGACATGGAAGTTTTTTTCTGCTGTTTTAAGCTGAAGAAAATGGTCCTGAGCTCCCAACAAGAGCAAATGAAGAATTCAGGCCTTTCATCAGAAGGTTACCAGAGTTTAAATTCTGGTATTCAGTTACAAAGAGTTCTGTAGTCGGACTAATTTGTACCTTTTTCGAATGTTTCAATATACCTGTCTTCTGGCCTATATTAGTGATGTATTTCATCACTCTTTTCTGCATCACCATGAAACGACAAATAAGAGTGAGTTGAATTTTCTTTTTTTTTCAATGGGAATGCAATTTGAACTTATTTTTTCAGCATATGATCAAGTATCGTTACTTGCCTTTTACACATGGAAAACCAAAGTACCAGAGTCATGAAGAGAGTGCAGGGAAAATTAATATATCTCCAAAGTGACAAATGTTTAATTTTTAGTTTCATTCGAGAATGTAACCAAAAATGTCCAGAATTTTTTATACAAGGAATGAAATATTGGGAGTGAACAAATAAGATAAATTTTGCCATAAATAATTTAAATTCCTTCATGTGGTGCAGTATTGTGGTTTTATTATTTTTTTCAATTTACCATTCCCTTTAGACAACTTGATAATATTAGCAGGCAGTGGCGGCTCGTGACTTTCATGACAGAGGAGGCTGAATGATATATGAGATTATTGTGAAAAACAACTCTCTACTCACCCAAATCAAAAGCTTCAATGACACTCTGTTTACCAGTTAACCTTAACTTAATACTTGAAGAGATGTGTTCCTGTGATAATAATTATCAGAATTGAACGAACGATTTTGTTTGTTACCTGTTAACAATCAGATTTTTTCAATTCCGGTGTCGGACGTTTGTTTTTCACTATCAATTTATCCTCATAAGACAAAGCACTGAATGGGTTCACCAAAAAGTATTCCACTAAATCGCAATCGTTCAGAACACTCATTTTTCAGAAATTTATAGAGCCCCTAACCTTTAACCTAACATAAACATAAACAATGCACTCGCGCTGGATTGTCCGCAATTCGCGACGCGACAAACACGTGCTATTCGGGCATTTGCATTGCGCGCGTGGGTTGCGCATTGTGAAGGAGTCTAGCCTCCTATAGATGTTGCCAAGTTGAATATTTTACGCGTTATTTGCAGACTTCAACGTGGGCAAGTACTGTTGCCAATTCAAAAATATTTACCTAAAAACAGGAAATCAAAATCCATGTATTTGGGTGGCCTTTTAATGAGAAAGTATAGATAATATCAGTTTAAGGAAAATCTCTGAGGAGGCTCAGCCTCCGCGTTGCCTCCTCTGAGGAGCCGCCACTGCTAGCAGGACAAATATTGATGATATATAGCTTCAAATTATGATATTCTGTGAAATTCAGGGATTATTGAATTCACTGGAATCCACAACCTAATTGCCTCAAAACATTGACTATGTACAAAAGATCTTAATATTACACCATTCATGTACCTATTTAGTTCAGTTATTTAATAAATGAATTTTCAATTAACTAATTTTCCATTTGGTCGTGGTTTTTCATTTTGTCCCAATAATCGGATCTCACAATATCATTGCATTTGTTATAAAATAAAATACACATTAATTTCAATGTTCTCAAACCAAATCGACATGAATTAACCAATTCCCTCTTCCTGAAGGAACGTGACTTCTTTCAACTCCCTTATCCTTTCGACGGTGTTCACTTCTGAATACATCAACTATGAATGCCGAATCATAAAAACGAATTTTTATAAACTGAAAAACATCTAGTCTGAATGGTGTGGTAAATTTGAGAGTGTTTGAAATACATATTTTTTCTACAACTGTCAAAAAACTTGACATTTCTGCATCTCTATGTCTCTATTGATGCGTAAATGTTCACTTTTTTCACTGATATTCATCATAAAGGACGTGGAAAGATATTCGGAATGAAGAAAATCTAATCACGAATCGGCGATTGAAGGTCTATAAAAATAACAATAAGTTTCCATCGTTCAAGTTTGAACCCCTTGATTGGGTGAAAGTATTGAAAAAGAATATTCTCAGATGAATTATGAACATGAAAAAATGGATATATATACATAAAGAAATACATTGAGATTTTGCATTCTCTATAGTCTATATGATAAAAATATCAATTCTTTCTCGGTATAGTCATATATAATACCACAAGTGATAATATTTTACCGGAAATATTCGGTGATTGTTACGACAGCTTGTTGCCTAGTAATTTCGTGAATGACATTGTTATCAAAACTACGAGCCGTAGGCGAGTAGTTTTGGATCAATGTCATGAGCGAAATTAGAGCAGCAAGCTGGAGTATGTCAATCGACGAATATTTCCAGGAAAAATAGTATCACGAGTTGTATTCGTATGACTATTTCATGACTGAATGAGACAATATATATAAGAAATAGGAAACATAATTTAAGTATATTCCAACTCGAACTGCGACGAAGAACATAATGATAGTAATGAAATACAGAATTCAATTTTTTAGAAATTAACTACCTACTTATAGTTATTCACAAAGTGGAATGTACAATTTTGATGAACAGTATTTTGTTTATTATCTTGGAGATGGTTGCTCTCAAAAGAGTGTATACATTTGCTATCCAATTCGAACAAAATAAATAATGTGACATTAAATAATTTAAAAAAAAATTATTGTCGTCGACGGGCTTGAACCACCGACCTTCGTATCACCGCGCAACAACCCTATCAATTGAGCCACATCACCTGGATTATATTAGTCACAATAACTTGAGAGTGACTGAAGAAGATTACTTTAAAAAGGAATTTGAATTCTAGTATTGTTGTCAGACAGTCAACAAATATGCAAACTTATTAAATTACACATGAAACGTCCAGCCAGAATGAAATTGTCTCGCCTTTCGTACAAAATGTCTCACTAACGCGTTATTGTCTCTTGTGTCAGATTTGAATACAAAGCAATCTTGACCAGACACGATGTCAAAATTTTATCGCTGATAAACGAGGTTTGTTGGTCACGTGTGGGTCAATTCGGCTTCTGTATTGGTAGAGCAAGTCCGATAAAATTTAATAAACAAAAAATATCGCTAGAATACAGAAGAAACCGTGAAAATGGTGGATTCTGATTGGTTCTCGAGATCAAGAGTGGAATAGTCAACAGAAAACTACTTTCCTGGTTATATCCCACGACGAGCATTGAATTATATCTATTGAACACATATGATAAGAATTTGAAAACAAAATCTTATGAAGTGGAGAATTTGTATTCTCTCTCCCTCAGATAAAAATATGTATGTACATATAAGATAATTCTGAATATTCAACAGATAACAACTACTTTCCTGACTATTTGCCACGTCGAACATTGAATTATATCTGTTGATCATCCAAAAGGAGAGCATGAAAAATAAGAATCCTCTGAAATTGAAAATTGACATTCTCAAATGGGAAAAAATGATATGTATTATTATTATCATTCAAGTATACTTCGCCAATACATTTCAATACTGATCATATTGGTAAATTGTATTTTTACATCATAAACTGAAATCAGGAAAGCAGATTTAATGCCTAGTAAAACTAAACTAACTATTGGACTGAGAAATTTGACGGGCTGTCATCATTTTTTTTACTATCACAAATTAAAGGAGTATAATCTAGGTGATATCTGTTATGGAATTATGTAATTCCAAGTGACATGGTTTTTTAAATTCCCTGTATGAAATGTACATCAATTTCTACTAATGTGAAATATTAATTTTCAAACATCACTTTCATATCATGTTGAATGCATTTTCCAACAGCATATTTTTTGGGAAAATCAGGACTAGAAAAAAATCTTACCCAAAAAAGTTTCTGCTGTATATTAACAGAGTTGATACTTATACAAAATTAAAACAAATTACTATTATTTATATAATACATTTTTCAAAGTAATTTCCATTTTCTTGAAGAAGTCTGAATTTTTCCAAAATTTTGTTTGTTAAAAAATTCCCCTCTTTCAACGTCTACCTTCCTATGATTTCATTTAAAAATCGGAGGGGGGGGGGGGGTGCAAGTAACAAAATAAATTGAATAATTATGGAAAAAGCAATACTTTATTTTGTACATGCATTAACGATTCAGAAGTTTCACAGCACTATTTTAAAATCTATTCATCTGGAAAACTGTGAATGCTATCAGAACTGAACAAGAGTACAGTTTTCAAGTAAAACTGTCGGAATTTTCATATTTCCTGGTCAAAATGCCGAAAATGTAATAAACAAGAAATTTTTTGGAAAACGTGCCTCTAGCACCTCCTTTAGACTATATGAACCCGATCAAAATTTCGAAATATTCTTGATACTTTTGGATTGTGCAAAAGAAGTTAGGGTGAATGTAAAAAATGTGATTACTTTGTCACAAAAATCTTCATTTGGGGCTCCTATACAGATGGCTATAACCCCCTGAGGGACCATTTCTAGAAACATGTTTTATATATTTTTCATTATTTTCGTTTCTAGAATAACAATTTCGGAATTTTATTAGAAAATGAAGGAATAAAAGTTATTTGAAATCAATAGAAAACAAAAAATACAGAAACATTACTGTAAGATCTAGACCTCAACAATTCACAGCTCTTGATTTTTTTTCTTCCTTTAAAGTTAATTTGTCACTAGTGCCGTAAAGTACCCGATCAGTGTTGTAATATTTCACATTACATATTGGTAGTTGGTAAAACGAGTGTAAAACTGGTAAAACTAATTACAAAAGGTATTTATCTTGAGATTTATTTTATATGGTATTATGTGTATTGCCTTTTCAATTAGGTTGAAGAAAACATTGAATTATTAAATTTTCAGTTCTTAGTACATTCCCAGGTACATTCCAACTAATTCCATTCCAATTTACTAAGGTGAAATTGTTCATTCATGAATGCTCATATGCACATTCTTCCCTAGAATTGAAACAACCATTTGGGTGGTTTTTCTGAAACCAACAAGGTTTTTTTATATATTTATACCCCACTTGTTCAATAGTAGATGGTATTCTGAGGATAACCATGCCTTGAATTACCTGAAATATATACCTATGATTTCTAAAAAGTGTCTGCAGACCACCACATTGATTTTTCAGACTTTTCAGATCTGCAACAGACACTTTCTTGGAAATGTCTGAAATTGATAATTCTGAACCTTTGTTCCAAATATCCCCATTCTGCTTTGAAATTATATTCTTTTCCTCAAGTAGAAAACTAACACAAACATTCACTAAATAACTTATGAACTGTCTATTTAATTTGGTACAGTTTCTCACTTCTTCAACAACACTCCTTGGTTTGAATTGAGATTTCATTTGGCTTTCTATATAGCAATTTACTTGTAAATTCACATGGCCCAAATCATTATCACAACCTTTCCTTATACCTACCAAACAACTTTTTCTAGTGGATGGTATCCTCAGTTTATCTAATTTTGTTTCATACCCACATTTCTTACAAATTTCTTCAATATACAGGAGATAATCAGCATAAGCACTGATTGAAGTATTTTTTCTGATGAATTTTTGACCACTAAACTCAAAAGGACAACAGGGAAGGAGAAAACAGTTAGTTTTGGGGGAACTTCTGAGAGCTATGACTGGTAACCAAGGTGTCAGTTCATCTGAGTGATTGCCAATAAGCCATGTGGATTCTGGGAACAATGAATCTGGGGTAATAGTACCAACCTAAAAAAGTACCATTAGGAGAAACAATTTCAAAATAATATATTTGATTTTACCTCTAGCTTTGTTTCTGGTGGATACAAATCCCAGATATCCCTTCTTCTGATATCAATTCCATAACCTTCATAACCTTCTTGATTCAGGACATAAACTAAAAGACCATTTCCACAGCCACAATCCACAAAACTGATGGATGAAAATGCATATTTCCTCCAGAAACAAATCAAATATGCAGCTATCCCCAAATCTTCATGAATATATTTTTGAGGATCTGTACCAGCTCTTGATTGCCAATCCTTAAAATTAATCAATTTGCATAAATCAAATCAAAATAAATTAGGTATTTGCATTTACTTTGTGCAGGCTTTCAGCATATTTTTGTTTTAGTTCACTATACAAAATGCAGTATTCATCAATGGGTATCAGTGACAAACATTTTACAGTACTTCTGCATTCAGTATCAATTTCAGACCATTTCAGGAGCTTTGGAAATAATTTGTCAGCTAACCATTCTGCATGAGTACTTTCAGCATCTTCATAATCTCTTAGGTTAATTCTGAAGTTAGAAGCATTTAGTTCCAATTCATATATGAAAGGAGGTGCCAGCACTGATTCACCAGGTTCACATACTGCTGTGAATATTGCAGAGTTGGTATTTTTGTCCAGTACCACTACTTCAATGGATTTATGATTGATATTTTTTTTAGATAACAATATTCTAACTGATACAAACAATCCTGTAGAATCTTCTTTGAACATTTGTTCAGTATATGGTATTAAAGTTACATTTCTGTCATAACATTCTATAATATTTTTGATAAAATCTTCACCAATGTTTTTGAAATTGTCTAACCTCCTTTTTTCATATAGAATTGCTGATGGAGTGAATATTTCCTTGAACTTACTTACAGGAATACTCTGCAAATTTATTTTGTGAAAAAGTAGTTGTGTTATTGCAGTTATTGAATGATTTATTAAAAATGGTCTAGTATGGTACAACCAAACTACCTCCCAAAATGCAGTAGATTTAAAATCTACACTGGTCGCTAATGGAACTGGTAGCATTTCTATTTAGTTTCTACTAGGTACTGGAATAAAAAGGAAAATTTATCATAATACATTATTACATTATTAAATTATTGAACTCACTTTTTTCAAAATCCACTTGGAGTCTTCATATGCTCGTTGTATAATTTGGTTAATTCGTTCTTGATCTTTTTCATTCACATGTTGTTTGAAACTCTGCAAGTTCAACTCTTATATTTTTGAGATATGGAACTTGATATTTACAAACCTGCTTGACCATAAAACGATAATGTTCTCTAGGCCCCGTTGGTAATTTATCACACTGTTTTATGAGATATTTGAATAAGATTCTGGATTCATTTCTTAAATAAGCACTTGTAACAAAATATTTGATTTTGATCATTTTCACATTTTGAGGTTAACCACTGACATTGACAATATTGACATTACTCAACATGCCTAAGAAGATTCAGGATTTCAATTTGTACTAGAAGTCATTCCGAAGTTGTACTAAGATCAAGTAAATTGTACTAAATTGAAAAAATGAAATGTCACTGGATGGCATCGCTCTGATTGCTATCTCATACATACATTTATACACAAACGTCTCTTGCCAGGCATTCAATTAGTAGGATGCTTATTTTCTATCGCGAATAAGGTATTATGAGGAAGGAAAATTACGTTTCTGCATGAAAAAAAAAGCTACTTTTGACCTCTCGGCCTAAAACTTACTTGTGAAAAAAAAATTGCCCACTGAACTATGAAGTAGTGGTACTCGAAAGTTTCATCTGAGATTTCATCTATGAAGGAGAAATATCGTGATGGCTTTTATCACAACATTTTGAAAACTATACTTTTCAGGAAAAAGGTTCATCTAGGTCGAGTAAAGAGTAGGCTCCTTTTTCATGCCGAAAAGATAATAGGGGTATTCCCGGTTCTCGTATAATGCTTCGTATTATCGTATTTCCGTATCGTCGTGTTCAGCAAACTAATCTGATTGGTCGATTAGGATACGCGGTCCTTCGTAACTTTACACTACCATTTTCTTGTGTAAGATTACAAAATTGCCGTTCTTACGAAACTGTTCTGACAGAATTTTGTTCCGTGTTCCGTGTTTCAAGTGGTGAGGTTAGGGTTATTGTTATTATTCAAAATTATGATTAATAGTAGATTATACCACGAGTCAATAATGATAGCTATTATTCTCGAGGATTTTTTACGAATCGAGCCGCGTTAGCGGCGAGGGAGTAACATTCCGAGAGAATAATAGCCATTATTGCGAGTAGTATACTCTACTTTATTTGCGACTAATATATAAACTTGTGGTTTTTGAAGTATACTGCCATATATTAATCCCGCAGGGAATAAAGACTAGTCTTTATTCCCTGCGGGATTAATATATGGCAGTATACTTCAAAAACCACAAGTTTATATATTAGTCGCAAATAAAGTAGAGTATACTACTCGCAATAATGGCTATTATTCTCTCGGAATGTTACTCCCTCGCCGCTAACGCGGCTCGATTCGTAAAAAATCCTCGAGAATAATAGCTATCATTATTGACTCGTGGTATAATCTACTATTATTGTTTGAGCTGCGTGGTGTGAGCATAAAGCACAATATAAATACCTCTGATTATTGTAACTAATCTCTGGTATTGAGCATTTTGATTTGGATAAAGGTATTTTAAAAATGGCAAGAATAAGAACAAAAACTATGTGTCAATCTTGGAAAAGGACTTGAATTATTGAAATTGTATTTTCAGTCATACAGTTCTAGCTCTGTTTCCAAGACAGATGTTGAATTTGAATTTTTCAATTTCGCACTGGAAGTTTCGGAATAAGCTGACAGTTTACATTGCTATCCATGGGTCGTTCCCGTGTTTGAGGTTTCGTAACCATACGTAGGCCATTTTCGTAAATATACGAAGTCAGATACGAGGGCTCCGGAATACCCCTATTTTCCTTCCGCATAATACATTTTATAACCTCCTGATAACCTTGAGATTTACCACAGCACAGCAGCAAGCTCCTATTTGAACGACTGGCGAGAGACATTTCAAATGACCATGAAAAAAGTGGAGGGCGCCGTACATTATGCTATTTCTCGGCAAGTTTGAGGCAATATGGAGGCGATGCAATTTTCTCAATTTATTGCGAGTCGCCGTACATTGAGATATTTTAGTCATATTTTCTTGTTCATATTCACTATTTTCAGTTTTTTTGAGCCTTCAATGTACTTTTTGGGGTTATTCGGTGTTTCAGGCCACGTTATGGAGAAAATTTGTATTTTATCGATGAATATTACTAAAAATTTCACTAAACTTGCCTTGAAATTGCAGGAAAAATAGGACTGGTTCTATAACGAAACTTGCATGAAACTTGCCGTGAAATATCATAGACGCATGCGCATTGTTCGATTCAAAATTGCATTGCATCGAGCTTGCTGGTAAAAAGCATAATGTACGGAAATTGATGAGTCTGTTTACCATATATACAGGGTGGCCATTTGAAAACGAAACAGAGCCAATTTTGGGCACTCCGGGTCATTTACGAAAAAACGCTCGGACTCGTCAATTTTTGATTGTATTACGGGGAAAGGGGGAACCAAGGGGAAACCTTTCTTTGCAAGTTCTCGTTATCAAATCTCGAAATCGAGAGCAAATTACCGCACAGGAAAGTGCAATTTTTCAATCACTTTGCTCAGGATAGTGATTGGCACAGGTGCCGTTCGATAAACTACAATGTTATAACGTTGTTTATATTGAGATGCGTTTGGGACAATATATTATTTCGTTATCAGAAGATGACGGTGGAAATTTGCAGCCGGCATCCATATAGAAAGTCATGGTTATTTGAATTCGTACGACAGCATAACCTTATTGACATGACACCTGTCCAATGGCTGACTTGCTAAATAAACACAACACAGAAAAATAGAAAATATTTCAAAATTATTCAGTGATTTTGTTTTTATTTTTATGTTGCTTTCAGATGTGAAAAACATGTTATTCAGAAGATTTTTACGACCCAGCCAACTGAATCAACTGCGAAGTTATTGTGAAAAAATCAAGTGAGTGAAGTCTTTTACAGCCAGTTATGTTGCTCAACTCATTTTTGTACTGTACTAGGGATTCCTCCAGGGATTCAGACAAACAGAAATGCCAAGAACCAATACTCAACTTTACTGAGACATTTAGTCGACTAGGAGACGATGGAACTTCCAGAACAATAAATGGAGACCTTTTGCCAAAGGATAATGAAGTTTTTCATGCCATTGGAGCAACAGAAGAGTTGCTCAGTTCTATTGGGTAAAATCAGTTATTTCTAAAACTTAAAAATCCTTATTCTAGAAAGTTTAATTTTTTCAGTTTAGCAAGAGAACATGCACATGAATCAGAGCAACAATATACTGACAAACTCAAGAGAATTCAGACAATAATCATTGATATAAGTACAGCAATTTCTCGCTCAACTTCTGTTTCAAACAAATCAACCATACCTGCTATATACACCAAAGAATTAGAAGACTGGATTCATGAATATTCTAAACAGTTGCCTCCACCTGAACAATATATCATTCCAGTAGGTACCTACATCTAGTACCACATTTTTGTAAACAATGACAACTATACAGGGTGTCCCATGAGTCATGGGTCAAAAGAAGTGAGGAGGGTTATTCCAATCAAACTAGCCCTATATGTTATTGTCCAATTGTTGATGGTTCAAAAGCTTTCATATGCTATTAAATTTTTCTGAAAACTGTGACCCCTTTGAAAGAATTGATAACAAAATGGTTGTTTTGAATAAACCCATATGTTATACCATTATGATTATATATTTATTATTATATGTGAGAGGATAGTCCTAGCTGACTAGTTAGAGGTAAAACTAGGTTTATTGGGGAATGCAGCAAAGTGAAAAAAGCAGTCTTTGAAGTTTGTCCAAGCTTTTGGAATATTATATTTCCATCATCAGGGTACTACAACAATTTTCCATTAGGTCACATTAATTATAGCAAGAGAAATTTTTTTTTCAACAAAGATGTAAGTAAATAATTTCTCTTAATATAATTAATGTGTCCTAATGGAAAATTGTTGTAGTACCCTGATGATGGAAATATAATATTCCGAAAGCTTGGACAAACTTTAAAGAATACTCTTTTCACTTTGCTGCATTCCCCAATAAACCTAGTTTATATTATTATATATTAATTGATAGGAAGTAACACAGGCAATGAAATTTATCTCTTGGGAAAAAATTGATTTTTTAGTAAACTACATGATTTTAGGAAGAAATAAAAAAAGATGAATTACTCTTGAACCATCAACAATTGGATAACCATATATATTGTTAGTTTGATTGAAAATTACTATTCTTTTTATCCATGACTTATGGGACACCCTGTATTACATGATTACTCTGGTCACTGGTCTAAACTAACATTATTTATATTTATTTTACATTCAATTTTAACTTGAAAGTTTCAATGCCCCTAATGTATTAGCTAGATTATATGAGCAAATATAGATTAATTGAGCCTATATGAACACATCAGAGTGAAAGGAATTCTAGAACTCCTTAAGATAAATCAAAATGTTTTCAATATTTGTCTCCTGCATTGAAAACACTCATGAATACAAAAAATACTTTCAAATGATTGAGATTTAGTATTGAATGTCATCTTGCAATGAAATAAACTTTTATAGACTTCTAAAGAGATCTTGATAACTATAATCCTATTAGTTTTCATGGGATTTTATACTGTTTTCAGGGTGTGATGTATAAAGTTGATCATTATCGAAATTAAATTAAATATAAATAAAATATAACATATTCATAAGTACAAAGAAGAAGATGTACATAAATCAAATATTGGGATTACAGTGATCAGTATATGGGAAAAGCAGTGCCAATAAATTTTACACATTTATTTTTTTCAATTACTATTTTCAGGGTGGTGGTGTAGCTAGTGCTTCACTTCATGTAGCAAGGGCAATATGCAGAAGAACAGAGAGAGTCATCGTGACTTTGGTTAGACAGGGCAATTTGGATAAGGAAGCACAAATTTACCTGAACAGATTATCAGATTTCTTGTTCACTGTATCTCGAATAGCTGCTAAGCAAGATCAACGTGCAGAAAGCATTTATATTCCAAAACCAGATCAGAAAATACAAGCCCAGTAAATAAATTTTGTGTTGAGATAGACATATTGTCTTAAGATCAGGTTCATACAAAATGAAAATGTCATGTATTCAATGATTTATGGAATGGCATGGAAAAAGGAACAAGCCAAATCAGGGAAATTATAACTCAAGTAGAAAAAACAATTGTTTAATAATTAACATTTTTCATGAATTCTTTGATCAAAAAAAGTTAGAAAACAATTTTTATTTCATCAGTCAATATGCTAGATGGAGAAACAAAAATATAAACAGGTTCTTGTATTACAAAAAGATTCACCCTAAATATCTGAGTGTTCTGATTTTATGGTTCTTAGTAATTAACAGATTGGACTTGGTGGATGAGATGAAATTACTGGGGCCCTACTACCTCACCAGAACTTGTGCTCTTTTTTTTTCATTGTTGAACACCATTTTTAAAGGATCACTTTAGATATTGTGACTTAAGCACAGTAGAAAAAGCAAACAAGTTGAGTATTTCAAATTCTTTTTAGGAACCCTGTATTCATAGATTTCAATAAGTTCATTGGTTTTCTGATGTTTATAGACTGACATGTATTTTCATTTTTAATATATAATACTACTATATTTTAATGATTTAACTGATTTTATTTTTTAGGGTTTTTAATGCAAAAAGAGTAATTTTCAAGGATAGTGTTTAAACTACCTATACATTGTTGGAACTATTGAATATATTATGTATTGTTAATTGATGTTACATGAATAAAATAACACATTTTTATAATAAATAGCTTTTCAGTTATCAACAAGAAACTCACCTCAATCAAATGTAAACCTACTTAAAAATGTTCATCACCCAAAACCATCTCTTTATATGACATAACTTCTAAGAAGGCATTGCCTTTACTTTCTGACTGAACCATTGAGTCAATCTCTTTGAAATAACCTGGATCCACCAAGAATACCAAGGTAATTTCATCATCTTCCCTGTCTTCTTTCTCTATCTCAACACTTTCAATTTTGGTAAGTTTCTCCTTGATTTTCTTTGAAGCCTTACCCTTGAAATTTACTTTGAGCCTCATTTTTGCCCTTTCTATAGGAATAGATTCTTTGAGTAGCTTAATGACTTGCAGAGCCTGTTGTTTGGCAGACTGGTTGGGTTTGACAGAATAGTGCACATCCTTCATGGCTTTTTCAATTATTGTGACTGGGTAGGGACGCTTTATTTCAGGGTTTAAACATTTATCAGCAACTGTAGTTGCTATATCTTTGAAAAGTTGTTCAGTTTGACTGTGTCGTTCCTTATCAGATACCTGCAATTCACCTTTTGCTAATATTTCTTTGCATATTTCAGTGTGGTCATCCTTGCCAAAAGCTTTGATCAAATCTTCTTTTTTTGCAACTTGTCCCTTGGACACATTTGTGAACACTGAATGTGTTTGTAAGACCTCGTCTATATCCTTTTCACTGCAATTATGAATTTGAATTAGTTCCCACCGATTATAGTAAGTTGTTGTGCAATAATAGCAATACTATATTGCGCCTCTACTCACACCTGGTTGCGCCATGAGACAACTTTATTTCGATAGCAAGCTATTTCGAATCTTTTACCAGCTTTTTTAATTCGCACCACTGCTACATTTGTCAATCGTATTTGATTTGTTGGCGTAAATATCTTGCTCATGATAATTTTATTGTTTTTTACAACTTTTTTATATTATTTTTTGAATTCAAATATAGGTTATGTTAACTTCTGAGTTTTGTTTCTGTTTGTTCCGCACGAATTCAATGCTACCTGAATTGGATCATCTAGAGACAGGACACTACAAATAATCCGGAAAGTTCGTGAAGAAAAAACATCATTGAAACATCGAATCAATATCGGCCCCCACAGTATTATTTTCAATTATTCACTTTGGAAAAAGGAGAAGAAAGTTGGTGTTGGGTGGTATGGTGAAATACGGGTTTCGAACCCGGGGCCTTTTGACTTATAAGATACGCACCTTACTCCATTGGCCATTATGTTTCCTGCGAATTTAATGTACAAATCATAATTTATAGAGGAAGGATAAACCTCAACACATGGATCATTTAGTGTATCGCATCCTTATGGCACGGTTGAGATGTTTATAAGTCTCTAGGCATCTTAGGCACGGTGGACCCCTGTGGTTTCTGATGGGCGTCTCGAAGTAGGAATGCAGAAGGAGTTGGCTTCATTCTGACGGGTTATGAATCATAGAAATTTTAAATTTATGAATGTAGTAGAGCTCGATGCTAAACGAATGAACGAAAATATCAATAAATCCTCAATTCACTATCGGTCACATTTGATGATACTATCCTTCCTCTTTTACTGCCCTTCTCAGGTCAGAACAGAATGTAGACGACACCAATGGCTCCTTCCTGGTCCAAGACGCTCGTATCTTCTCATATTTGCATGATTTCCAATGAATTGATAACAAACACTATTCTTGAAAATACATTCCACGGTGCACATTCAGACACCTTAACGACCAAGAACTACCAAAAACTCACGGCCCATTTTTACCAATCTTTTAACCGTTCCACTTGAATGATTATCGATTGCTTTCCATCCTGGGGGTTCTTTTGATCACCCGTATGTTTTCAGTGTCGTGTAAAATACTCTGTGAGTTCATTGTCTGTACTTGGTACTTTCGTTTGCTGCACTGCACTATGAATCAGCTGATATTTTGTGCAGCTACACCTACGAATTTCAAACGAACGGAGAAAATTGAATTGAGGAGGAGGAGGAGAGGTTTCCTGATTGGTCAAAAAATTGAAGTATTGAACATTGACAGTGTTGACAAATTGGGAAGTTTTTCAATCTTCTGGGTAGTTTCTAGTGGCTCAAGTGGCTCAAGGTTATAAGTTATTTAGGTAAAGAGACTTTCAGGGCAATAAAACTGTGGCAATTATTTAACGTGCGTTCACAAAATATTTTCCAGTGTTTGAAAATTGAAAAATATTTTTGGCTGTGTATGAAATAATTACAGTACAGACATACATACTGCATAATAATATTCTGATTATATTATATATATTTTTAGATTCGCATGAGTGGATATAAGAATGTAGAATGTAGTATTTTTGTCAAAAAGCGCCAAAAGTACAAAAAGAAAAAGTGGTAGAGTAGGCAACGCTGAACATGATTCTGACGTCTGTCGTTTGCAAATACAACAAAACGTATTCCAAATATTGTCAAAAATAATGTAGTGTTTTACTTTATGAATTATTCGTGAAATTATGTGGAGTGTTTGTTGAGATAGTGACAAAATTGTGCGGAATAAAATGGCCCTAGTGACAGTGCTGAGGAGCCCCAGTTCAAATAATTCTCCTAGTCATGTAAGTGCAAAGATCGGTGCAGAGGTACATTTCCTCCTAAATGTTGTCTTTTTTCTAATTATTTACACATAATTCTATTAACGATGGTTATGAATGGACACTTTGCTGATAATTATTAATAATTGTCAGAAATAGGTCTCCATCCTAGATAGGTATGTCTCAGCTTGAGCATGTATGTGCTTTTTTATGAGGTAGCTGTCTGCAATGGGCTTGGATTTACCCTCGTATTTACTCGAGGGGTAAACCGCGGTCAAAATTGTGTACACCAAACATCAATTTCACAAGGAATTCCAAGGAATTTCAAGAAATTCCAAGGAATTCAAGTTGTTTGTACACCAGAATTATACCGCACTTCACACAAGGAATTCCAAGAAACTCCAAGGAATTCCAAGGGAATCCAAGGAAATGCAAGGAAATGCAAGGAAATTCAAGGAATTCCATGGAACTCCAAGAAATTCCAAAGAAATCCAAGGAATTCCAGGGAATTACAAGGAAATCCAAGGAATCCTAAGAAATTTCAGGAAATCCAAGGAATTCTAAGGAAATCCAAGAAATTCCAAGGAATTCCAAGAAAATCCAGGAATTCCAAGGAAATCCAAGAAATTCCTAGGAATTCTAAGGAATTCCAGTTGTTGTACACCAGAACTATACCGCACTTCACTCAAAGAATTCCAAATAAATCCAGAGAATTCCAATGAAATCCAAGGAAATCCAAGGAATTCTAAGGAAATGCAAGGAATTCCAGTTGTTTGTAGCCCAGGAATATACCGCATTTCACCCAAGGAATTCCAGAGAATTCGAAAGAAATCCAAGGAATTCCAAGGGAATTCAAGGAATTTCAGGTTAGTATCATTGTATTAACTCTCCTTTCAGTCAAAATGGTTGGAATATTTTGAACTGAAGGTATCATTTCATTACTAGTTGTGTGATTTTTCACTTTACGCAACTGATTACGAGAAATAAGACGTTTCAACATTTCCGTCTATATTGACAAGACAAATTACTTTTCAATATAAGTAAAACATATTATTTTCTATTGAAACCAAAATGTAGTACCTATTTGATGATAATTATGAGTTCAAGTAAACTAGATTTAATCAAATGAATTACGACGTATTGGCTGAAAACACGTATTTTCACTTTCCGATGTTTATGAGACAGACACACTGTATGAAGTTTTCTAGAAATAGTTTCTTGAAATACAGGGTGGCCAACTAAGACTCCAGAGTTCGATTTCTCTGTTGTCTTGAGAGATACAGGAAAAATTCATGAATCAAAATTGAAGTAATAACCGAGCTTCACATTTTAAAATTTCTTTGAAATGCACAGGGTGTTCCGTAAGGTCACAGCACATCAAAGCTATGTTTTTTTCATGGGAACACCCTATATTATATATCATTTTTGAATTATCCCTGGAAATCTGATTTCAACGACCCATCATACTTAGGGTCTAGCAGTGAAAGTTACTGACATATAGGGTGTGCAAAATCGAGATTTTCCAAGTTCAGGATTTTTTTCTGTCGAAACTGTTCATTATTCGTCAAAACGGTTTACATGTCCCTATCTCAACTTTTCACTCACTATCAATTGGTGTTCAATTGAAATTGATACAAGGTGGTCAAAAAATCTAAATTTTTAATTTGTTTCTATTAAATGTCAATCGAACACCAATTGATAGTGAGTGAAAAGTTGAGATAGGGACATGTAAACCGTTTTGACGAATAATGAACAGTTTCGACAGAAAAAAATCCTGAACTTGGAAAATCTCGATTTTGCACACCCTATATGTCAGTAACTTTCACTGCTAGACCCTAAGTATGATGGGTCGTTGAAATCAGATTTCCAGGGATAATTCAAAAATGAAATATAATATAGGGTGTTCCCATGAAAAAAACATAGCTTTGATGTGCTGTGACCTTACGGAACACCCTGTGTATTTCAAAGAAATTTTAAAATGTGAAGCTCGGTTATTACTTCAATTTTGATTCATGAATTTTTCCTGTATCTCCCAAGACAACAGAGAAATCGAACTCTGGAGTCTTAGTTGGCCACCCTGTACACAGCATGTTCTATGCTTGATAAGAAAGAATGATAAGAACTACGTAAAAAACATGCGACTCACCCACATCATTCTAGTTGACTGGAATTCATTTGGAGAGTCCTGTATAGAAACAAAAGTAATTACTGTGTACCTTCAAAACTCATACAGTATTTGAAATAATAAGGGTTTTCTTTTATGAACTCAAATATTTCCTATGTGGTCAGCATTTGTGCAACAGATTGAATTATTCTTGAGTTTTTCCATGAGCATTCTATGAGTTTTATATCTCAAAATCGAGCTGAATATTTCGAAAAATAAAAATAAAACATTCGTGAAATTGGATGCGCGCTCGTAAAAAGTACTTCATTCATTTTCTTTCGCTCTCTTAAGATATCAAAACAGATCTACAGAATTTTGCCATCCAGAGTGTTGTTTATGCTATGAAAGACATTTTCTGTTTTGCCTAGACGGACATGGATTCTGATCTCGATTTCTATTTAGTTTTCACGGGTAATATAGATGAAATATCAAGTATGAATAGATCTCGGAATAATACATATACATACAAATTTTGCCAAAATCGTGATAACGTTCTGTATCTCAGTATTGAAAGACGGTTGACACATCAATAAAGGGTGATTTGGAAATCGTTTGGAAACATCAAAGTGTCCTCTATCTACACTTCTACAGGTTTCGTATGTACCGGGTGTACCACTAAGAAAGGACGCCGGCTGTATCTCGGAAACTATTTGCCGCACAGGTTTCGGAAAAAAATATTTATGATAAAAGTGGCGAAGAAAAATCTCTGGAAATTATTTTCAAGTTTCCAGGACAGCCGGTAGAGGGCATAATTGCATTGGCCAATTTGAAAAACGTTGATTTCAATAAAAAAATTGCGCTAGCTCTTCAAATGAAAGAGGGAGGGAAAGATGAATAGTACTTTGGAAAAACTCTTATCACTACAAACTACAGTTTGGTGTACCGGAATTCAATGATCTTGGTCTCATTATGAAGGGTTTCTCCAGATCTTCCAGTTAATTCACGAATCAAGTCGATTTAAATCTCGTGGTGGGCGCTAGATGACATCATTTGAAAAATCAGCCGATTTACCTTTTTTTTTCGAGAATTTCAAATGTAACCATATATTTTTCCTGCTGTAATATGGAAGTAAAGTAAACGAGAAGAAAAATGGTGAAAACCGCGAGTTGATACTTCTTGAAGAACCGGAGAAATATTCGGAATAATATCATTAAAATTCAAACTGCTAGCATGTCGCATGCCTCCTCATTCGATTTCGGCATTTTGACGAAAAAGCAATCTACAATGAACAGTGAAAACTTCCAATGGCTCGGCTTCGC